GAAAACATATTTTCAGCTATGAACGAACATACTATATTTTCTACAACAGTAACATTTTATTCTTCGACTAAGGAACCCCAAAATACGTAAGTGGCATCATTACTCCATCTCACTGACGTAGGTGATGATAATTGGCGGTAATTATCCCGTCAGGACCGATCTATAAATCAATATCCGAAATTAAGTACATCTACGAATAGCTACGAATTAAAATCTAGTCTCTAATTATTCTAATTACGTAGGAATTTGAACAATAATGGTCCTTCTCAAAAAATAAATTGTTAGAAGGAATTCGCGAGCAAAAAGTTACAGGAAAGGATTAGTCACTGTATAGTTAGTACCTAACAATAAAAATTAATAAAGTCTACTTTTTTACTGAAAGAAAATAACTAAATTTATAGAAGTCCAAGAAAATGGAGTGACATGCTGTAAATATTTAATTATTTTAATAATAAAAAGTTTACTTTAATATGCACTTGCACAACACAATGTTTGTGACTCTACATTCTACATAAAGAGTCTGGTCCTAATATTTCGAAAAATTGCGAAAACCTATGCATGTACAGTATAAATAGCTACTTTCATATTCGTATTTTAAGATTCTATGATCAATCTTACTGAAAAAAATAAAACATCGAACGATTACAAAATAGCTATTAATCTTATCTTTTTTTTTCGTATTTTCTTCTGTATCACTAAGTAAGTGTTTTGTTTTGTTCTAGGTAAGCTGTGACAAGAAATTCCAATGTAAAAATAATTTTAAGTGTAAAATAAGTTTATAGAAATGACTTTTCGTTGTGTTCCTACATTTCAAGCAGTCTCCAATGATAGTAACGCCACCTGGGTAAGTTTTTTGAAACTACTACTTTAGCTACTCCTCAATAGATGGCGCTGTACATGCTTTTTATATTAGCATGCTTTATGTTAATGTTTCAATAACAATAAATTATAGGCTTGATATCAAGCATTATAAAGCAAAATATTAAAATTGTTTAATAAACGATTAAAATAAATTTTAATTATACGTTAATTATTGTCACTGATATTTTTTTGATCGTAAAATTTTTAAGTGTACAGCGCCATCTATTGTGAAACTATAAAACTAAGTGCATAGGAAAAGCATGGTTCTGACATGTAAATACTGCTACTCGACAATAGATGGCACTGTAGTATCGTTGCCATAAAATGTTATTTTATTTTTGAAAAATATTGTTTTGAGAATATTGAAAACTTTTCGCAGAACTTTAAAAGTCACTATTGTATCGGTAATCATTATTTACTTTCGAATAAAAGCTATTTCATTTTAAAATAAAGGCTTATTAATTATTATTATGTGTCACTATTGTATCGGTAATCATTATTTACTTTCGAATAAAAGCTATTTCATTTTAAAATAAAGGCTTATTAATTATTATTATGTGGTGAACTTGTGATAGAGAAAGTATTTTTCAAACATCAACATCATCCATCAGTAACTGTCTAAGCACAATTGAATATGATTTAGCGACAGCTTCTTGTTTGTCGGGCTATTGGGCCTACGCACTGCAGTCGATGACACGGTAAGTGCGTGGCAGTCGCTTGACATGTCAGTAGGTTGAAGATAGAGTCACCAATCTTCACGTTTTAATAAAACTGTACGTTAATAATAGCAAAAAAAAAAACAAATAACACATTGCCAAAAAAACTGCTTTAATATAATTTCCGTAAAAGAACCTCATTAAACTAGAAGCATTTAGTTTAAAAAATATTTCATGAATAAGGTTTTTATTTTCTTGAGTCAATGGTTCTCAATGTTTGCCTTTTAGACCAACTTTTAAGATCTTATACTTAGTCCCCAGTCTTAAAGAAAAAGCACGAGCAAAAGCTTCTACACAAATCATTAAGTTTGGCATGACTGCCAAAAGAACGCTACGACGATACTACCGTATACTACGAAATTGGAGTAGGTTAGGGATGATGACTGGGTAATGAAATCGAAATTCTATTTAGTTTGTCAGACAGATAATTAGAAAATATTAGACTCATATTTTTATTTTTTTCCATAATCGAATAATCACTTTCCATAATCACTTTTGAGTAAAAATTCTACTCAAGCGTGACGTATCGCGCCATTTCAACTCGATGTAGCACTGTTATTATTTAATTATGAAAGAAAATAAAAAATATGAGTCTAATATTTTCTAATTATCTGTCTGACGGACATATAATTGAAATTTTGTCATCTAGCCTATTTATTTTTAGTTTCTATCCGTTTTATTTTATTTTTCTTTCCTAAAAAAAAATACTCTTGCAAACTTGTCAAACTTATGGTCACCCCCAAAGGCCACATACTGACCCCAAAGCTGCGCCCACGCATCAGCGAACTTACTGTTTGATTTATCATAAAGTGAAGTTTGTTCTAACTGGACAGTTAGTGGTTTACTTTAATTTGGATGAATCACAGACGCTGTGACTAAGTTATTGCTAGAATGTGTAAACTTTCGTTTAATATGATGATATCTCATCTATATAGTTATAGAAATACTAGCTTTCCGCCCGCGGCTTCGCCCGCGTGGAATTTTGTCTGTCACAGAAAAACTTTATCGCGCGCGTCCCTGTTTCAAAAACCGGGATAAAAACTATCCTATGTTCTTTCCCGGGACTCAAACTATCTCTATGCCAAATTTCATCAAAATCGGTTGCGAGGTTTAAGCGGGAAAGCGTAACAGACAGACAGACAGACAGACAGACAGACAGAGTTACTTTCGCATTTATAATATTAGTTGGGATTTTCATGCTGATCTGTAGCAAAGCAAGTGTTTTATTCGTAAAAGAAAATGCCTCAGCTCAAAAAATACAAAAAAAAAGTTTTGCTCCTTGATAAAGGCTTGTTTAAATAGGGTCTAGAACTCTTCAGCCAAGTACAATGTATTTTTTTCTCAATACAGGTCAATCTCTAGAGTCTAGAAGATTTAAATCATTTTTTATAGTATCTCAAAAGCTAACCAAAAATGCCGCACTATTTTTTACAAACGTGTTTCTTTCTAATCAATTATTTAAATGCAAAAGACTTTAAAGTCAGTCATGAAATCTCGCAGAAAATTTATTTTCAATAATTTTCCTAAATCGTACCAATCATGTAAATGCCTGTCTGTGGTTTAAATACAAATAAATCAAATTTCAGGCGCAAAGAACATCATTGATGCTCTATCCTCATTAAATTTCTCGGTCCTACCGAATTTGAGCTCTACGTACCTTGTTATAAAAACGTTTAAAATAATTTACTTTCACGTTGATAAGCGTAGCGGAAACTGAAGCGTTTTTATAAATTTTCATACCTGAAAAAGCTTAGCCTGAAATGCGGGAAAAAATTATTTTGTAGGCATGACAATGCTATGCAAGTGTACGATGATATTTTAAAGAAAAAAAATTTTTAAACCACCTCTACCGATGAAAGGAGAGGAAAACAGTTGAGCAGAGCTTTGATTGATATAACCTGTGCACTATGCCGATCATCCCCGCACGTCTTGTCTCATCACTTTGGCGGAAAACGGCAAATCCCATAAAATAATCTCCTAAGCGGAGAGCTTTTATCCGCTACCCGCTCTGCTCCGCTTAGCTCTCTCCGCTCCGCTCAGGCGCGTGTCCTCCGCGTAGCGGTGTATCGCGCACACGCCGCGATCAAACTGGATATGAGAGGAACAATGTTATAGATTCGCGGCGGCGCGAGTAGCGAGCTTTTTCTGGTGTATACGCGCAGCTTTCAGATGAATGAAAGCTCTAAACTTTAAGTACAGATAAACTTAATAATTAATATTTGAGCATTAGAAAAGTTAAGATTTTTAGAAAACAGTCAATGTGCTAATCTTATTCAACGTATTAATTAACAATAGAAAACTTTTTTTTCAGTCAAAGTAAAGGTACAAGTAAAGTATTGGAATAAAATTCAGTAAGATTGTTTTTAAATTTATTTAATTTTTAGTTATCTATTAAAATTTGTACGTGATCTTTCGTGTTTACTTTATGCATGCTTTTTATAGCCCCATAACAGTTAAGACTGCATAAATTAATTGTTTTAATAAATTAATTAATTGTTCTGAATTTACTATAGTATGCTGTGCGGACAGCATCAAGCTAAACACAGTGGTGTCTTATCTCGTTGTGATTTATGGTTGTGGGCTATTTTGCAACAAGAATGTATATTCTTGTTGAAAAATAGCCCGTATACAGGCTAGACTATACAGTCTAATAATATTATGCTGTCGACTGTACAGCAAAAGCTCCCAAAAGCTCTTACCGTTTTATCTGCGGTCGCCGTATACTCGTCTCTCCCCGTCTCTATCATGTCTCGGGGCCTGCGTCTGCGCACTCCATGTGACCGCCCCGAGCGACGCGCGCGAAGCTCACGTGGCGCGCGAACATTCCAAATTTAAATCGACTCTCCCAAAATTCGAACTCGGAACGTGCCTTTTGTACAGTGCAACTTTTTCAAAACGTGCAGTGTTACCGGCCAGTGTTACCTCTAAATAGATAAAAAATCGATAAAGTTATCCTCCAACACTGAAATAATACCCCGCAAAGATAATCACATATTGGACGTGATGAACAACGATTTCCTTTACCATCAGTAACGGGGCAAGTAAACAATAACATTATTTGTTGTTAGAGCGGGACGGGTGTACGCGCAAGAACGAGATGGATTTCAAATCATCGATCTAAAGAAAATAGAATTCTCATACGAAATGTAATGGCGGTACAATAATCGTGTAAAAGTTCACGATGGTTGCCCAACGCTGTAACAATAGGTAGAGGCGGACCAGTGAAGGTTGGTCTTGAACAAATCGATTTTTGGGTTGTTGTTACATCTGAAATCGGGGTTCAGGGTATAGTGGTGGGTGGTGCGGTCATCATACTTGGAGATAATCATCGATCGATGATTTACGCCGTGTTAAACCGACAATGCGATAACCCCGTGCCGCGTACAATGTGACCAATTAGGTTCCTTTGAGCCTTTCGCTAAGATGACCAAAATGAACGTGGACCTGCCCGGCATGATTGGGCAACAAAATTTAATCGTCGACGACATTTTTACGGACAATTTTAAGCGCAAGAAACTGCAAGATGAATACGGTGATGGAAATCTTAAGAAGCCCGACGCGTTTAATAATAACAATTTGAAGTTGATTAACAAAGAAATATCCCCTAAAAGGAAAACTTCAAAAAATATAGAAGATAATTACGTAAATACGGAATTAAATATAAGTATAGACAAGGATTCTAATAGAACTATAAGGCTGGAGCTTCGGCATCCAGGGAGTGATTCAGATTACAAAAATGGTCACCGGGATGACACGAATGATCATAGAGGCATAGAGAATGGGATTGAGGAGTATTCTTTGAAGGATGGTGTGGATGTTATGGAGAGGGATGAGAACAGTGAGGACATGAACAGGCATGATGACTACGCGAATGGAAACGACGAGGAGAACGACGTAAGTCTTAACTTACTTTTTCCAATGAGATATTTTATAGAGATTTGATCTTATTTTAGATATTGGTCTTTATGTTCGTTCAAAAGCGACATCCATGGGATTATTTATTCAATCTTTCATGACATATAAATTCGTAGGAACATAAGGCAAACTTAATTCCATAAGGCATTCTCTACCAGATTTATTTATTTATTTATTTATTTATCAATGCCAAAAATATTAACATTAGGCGAACTTATTAACAGATTACCATCGCTATTTCGTTTATTCATACCTATACAATGTCGCCCTGTAAAAAGTATATTTTTATCCACTACGAGGAAGCTCTTGGCCTGTATATCACCTCATTTTGGAAAAAATATAAAAATACTTTCAATTATATTAAAAATATTAACATCAAGCGAAATACCAGTCAAATATGTAATTTATTTAATAAAAAGACGTATTTAGAATTTAAAAAATGGTATAATCACACGTCACATCACACTACACATTTATTACATCCTCTTTATAATAGAGATTATACTTATTGCAGCAGTTATCTAAACCATCATGTTTAAAGTGTGGCGGAATTAAATTTAATTAGCAAAAGGCAATAAAGAGAAAGCGATAACAAATGACGGCCGAATTTAAACTAGATCTAATAATTTAACTTTTAGATCGCTGTGACAATTTCAAACAGGTATTAGTTAATTGTAACTTGTTCTTACATTTTGAAGCATATTTATTTAAGTTTTTACAGTTTATTGATAGTCAATTTAGTTAAATTAAGCAACGATTAATTTTACATAATTGACTTTATTAACTCAAATTCCAAAAAAGAAGGCTGATGTTACACATTATTGCTTGTTTACTTAGCTACTACATACTTACTTACATTTAATTACTTCTTGTAAGAATTTGCAGTTTCGAAGATAATTTCATTTTATGCTAGGTGACAGAGAAAAAAAGAAAATTATAGTTCAATTAAGTATACTTTACTAGAAAGTTGAAACTCAAAAAGGAAAAAATATGCTAAAGTAATAATTAAATTATTAAGCCTCATTTACACTACCTTAACTATAACTTTAACCGGTGTTTGTGTATGGAATTTGACAGACTTTAACGTTAAAGTTAAAGTAAGATGGTACAAGCCTAAGGGTTAAAGACTTCACGATTTTCAAATGATACCCTTGAAGTTGCAATATTCATAATTCTCTCGTTAACATATCGCGTTAAGAATATTCTTTATGCGTAATCAAATCTCGGGCACTAATAATTGTCGTTAAAGCCGCCATAAACTGACTCAAACACGCGTTATCAATACGATAGCGGCTGATAATAATCCCGCGTACGAAAGGCTTTTGGCACGCGGAACGAAATTTTCGAAAGAAATGTTTTATCTCTTTACACTTGATACAACTTGTTGTACCATTATATCAAATTCTTTGATTTCATTCATTTGAAATGTAAAAACATTGAGAACAATACTGTTTTCAAAATGGGTTTGTCAAATTGCAATGCATGTGTAACAAGAAAGACACCATTAATTTGATTTTCCGAAGGCAATTCTTAACACAGCCCCAAGATGATTAGGTAACACACTTATCTATAGAAATATATTGTAGGTACTTCTATAGATAAGTTCTTGTACTATAGATAAGTATAGGAAATAATACTTAACTATAGTGCAAGGGATAAGGGTTTTTGATTTGATCCTTCAGTAGAAGTAATACCATACCATGTAATATTAATTTATTCAAACAAAACCACAGATCAGATGCAAGGCATTGCAAGGGCCTTTTAATAATGTTCAACCACAAACTCACGAATATACCGATATACATACTTACTTTTACAGTCGGAAGCACATCAGGCTATACATTTTAGTTGCAAAATCACCCCTATTCCAAGCACATAAAATTCCTTGTTTACCTCAATATGCCGGTATACATAATTCGCATAAATGCAATCGTGCGTCGGCCCGCACAAAGGTGCCCTCAATTGGGTCAAAATCACTGCAAGAACAAATGAGGATCTTATGGAGTCACGAACTTTCTAGAAAACCGTTAATTTTATAATAAAATTTTTGGACAAAAAAGTTTTTTTGTAAAAAAAATTAAGAAAAAATCGTAACGCGTTGAAGTCTAATTAAGGAAATGTAAAAAAAATATTTTTTAATTTATTTTTCTTTAACAATTTGGTGTTTTTTTTAAACAGAAAATTCAAAGATTCTCTTAAAAGTAAGACTCTTGAAAATCATATTTTTGTTAAACAGCATAATAAAACACTTAATTTACTTAATTTCATAACATTTAATTTTATCACTAAATATCACACAAAAAGTGGAGTGCGCAAATCTGTAGTTACATAAATTGGACAATAATTTTAAATAAATCGGACTGCTCTGGCATACCATTGCAACACTAAACTTGAAAAATGTCACACAACCTGTCTCTTTTACGGTCACCGAATGGATTCGCTGACAGGTAATGACCCTTAAGTTTTAAGAAATAAGATGCACTAACTGTCAATAATATACGTTCCAAAAAAATTTTTTTTTTCATATGGCTGCGTGCGGCTTGACTGTGGCACATTTGGCCAGAGTCAAGAAATTAAAAAATCAGTTAGGTATCGAGTTATGAAATTAATTATTTTTAAATCATAACCATTATCCTCACTTAACTTGAGTTTCAGTAGACATGTGTCACTTTGAGACCTCACGTGGACTTCTTGAGATAATTTAGAGTGAAAATGCCTACACTCATGTACTTTTACGTATCCCTACTTCCCTTCTAATATTATAAATGCGATGCGAAAGTAACTTTGTCTGTTACACTATATTAACGCCTGTACTTATGCCTTTTGTTGCCAAATAAAATTATTTTCTTTCTTTCTTTAAACCACTGATCTGATTTTGATGGAAAGCATCAAGATAGTTTGAGTCCCGGAAAAGGACATAGTTTTTATCCCGGTTTTCAACAGGGACGCGCGCTATAAAGTTTCTCTATGACGGACAAAATTTCACGCGAACGAAGCGGCAGGCAAAAAAGCTAGTGGTTCATTAAAATCCACGAATAATAAAGACTGACGAACACGAAGATTCACTTTATCGCAAGAAGTCAATTTTTATGCTGCCTGTACTCGTAAAAAGTAACAAAATATGGCGGTAAAATTTGTAAGAACTTATCGGGTTGACCTTTTGTAAGCCGAAAGTGGGCACCTGCGCAAGAGTGCTTTCCGTTATCCTTTGGTCAGGTCACATGTAGTTTAGGGCAGCCATTTTTAAAAATCTGGGGACGATGGATAACCCAATAAGTATTTATATTGCTCTTTATATGTAGAGCAAAAAAAGCTAATAAAAAATTATTGTCTTTTTTCTGATTTTCACAAAATCGTGAATGCTTACAGATATTATTATTGTTCAGTAGATAAGTCAAAGGCAAGGCTTTTATTCATTACTTCGGCTAAGTAGTTTCCAGGGCGTTTACGTCCCAAATAACGCTTGCCCTACACCACTTTGGGACAACAAATAGGCTGATGCTGAGTTAGTATTTCAAAACTATCGCCTTATTAGACCTTCGTCTTCCTAACAACTTTCCCTTGTAAAGTAATATTTCGATTTCAGTAAAGTGTCTCTATCTGTAGCATTTTTTCAATTTTTATCGTGAATCTTATTTCCTTGAAACGTTAATTAAGTTTATTCAAACCTTTTTTCTTTGAATCCATCATTTCCCACAAGCTTTTATTGCTAGAAAGTTTTATAAACTTCTATTTTAGAGTGTGTCGCGGCCTAAAATGTTTGCTACCAGACGCTATCTATCACACCTTGTAAAAATACAATGGCGTGTCCCAACAACTGGCCATATATTACTGTATAAACATTGGAGTTACTACAAGCGAGAGTTTAGTTCGATATAAGAGTGAGAATAGTGTGCTCAGAAATACTATACTTATTATTGTAGAGTTAAAAATGCGTGTTTTTTGCAAAATAGCACCTAATACAACTAAATGAGATGTTATAGGTAAAGTTTTAGCTTGACCTGTAGGCCTAGCCTACAGCCTAGGGATAGGTGCCATTTTATCGATTTTACGCGATAAGTATATGTTGTCTAAAATCATCGATATGATTTTATCACGGCGCATCCAAACCCGGCTTATATTAGCTCGCGAGTCGCCTGCTCTCTTTTTGTGACATCTTCCTTAGTTGTAACTGGCGCTGTTTTGCATCAAAAATAATTAAAATGGAATGTTTACTTATAGTTTTCTTACTATACAAGTCATCACCTCAGTCAGCAAACATAAGGTTGACCCTTTTACCACCATTATTCCTACGAAATACTTTCAGTAAGTGCCTTAAAATTATCAACTTTTTCCACCACCTCAAAAATCTTACAAACCTTATCAAGTTCTTATCAAATTAATAATATCTTGACACGCAATATCATTTTATTATTTTGGTAAGTAATTTATTACTTCCGAGAAACGATGATAGAGACAAGTTGTGCAACAACGCGTGGGCAGCCAGTGTGGCTGGACAAGGTGTACAGTCAGCGTCAAAAACTGACACTCAAAGTAGCCAAAAAGTTCGCAACACGTCTTTATTATAATGAGAATAAGGTTGTGTTGTCAACTTTTTGGTCACTTTGGATGTCACGAACTATTTGACGCTGACTGTAGTTATCAGAATATACATTTCTTGTCGCAAAAACACTCTTATTACAATGCTATTGATGTGCTGTCGTCTGTACGTTCAATAGACACGTAGTCTACTTGAATATTATATTTGGGTGCTCGGCTTAAACTCGATACTATTCGATTATTCAAATAAGCTACTTCACTAATTTGGTTGTGATGCGCGTAGGTAGGTACTTTAAAAAAAATCAACTTATTTTTTCACGAAACAAAAGAAGATCAAAAAACGATCATGCCTAGTTTTGATTATAAATTAAAAATAATAGTCGGTTGGTAATAAATTCCTATTTTAAATTCACATGGCTGTACTCACTGGAAAATGGATAGACTGGCTGAAAAATCCACTTTTCCACTTTCTCCACAGAACCTCATAAAAACTCGACCAAAAATACTTTTTTAAATTAGTCTACCAACTATTGGAACCATGATTCTTATGGTAGTGACCACAAAAGTCCATAGCTTTCAGCAAATTATTTCCTAGATTTCTTTA